TAATTTGATATGTATATATAATATGTAGTGTTTTGAATTTTTATTGTAATATTACCGTAATTCTTATCGCCAAAGGTAATAAATAAAGGTTATTATTATTGTCTTGGACACTGGTGTAAACGGCCTCCAAGATGTCGTCAGTACAGAGGCGGAGAGTGCTGATATCGAGAGCAGCATCGGAGATCAGGCTGAACAAATAGGCGGGGTTTTGGACGGTGACGGTGGTGGGTTTGTTGATACGCTCACCGAATTTGCCCCAGAAGCTGTTGAGCATCAACTTGGCGGTGGCCTTGCGACCGGGATTTTTGGCAATACTGGCAATGTCCAGTCGGATGCCCTCTCGTTCCTGGTAGCGAAGAATGTACTCTCGTTTTTGCTCGAGGGTCTGACACCAGCTGGGCCACCCCGCTGATTCTTGTTTGATCTTTAGCCAGGTGTTCACGTAACTGGCGAAAAGACCCGTTTGGCGTTGCTCGGGGGGGGGAAATGCCAGACTTCGTGGATCTTGATGAGAGTGTACCCCTTTTCGACGGCCTTGACCAGTTCGGGCGTGCACCAGGTCCCGCGTAGTATGCGATCCACGTCAGAATGAGGGCAATAGCGGGTTCTGGTCAACATGGGTTGGGCTTGTTCCTCCTGGACACAGGAACGGCAGAGAGGAAAAGTGAGCTTTTGACCACAGCGTACGGGCAAGACGGGGTGGAATAAACCAGCCGGAGGAAGAATGTCCACGGTAGCCAGACCAAAATACGATCCCAGGGACTGGTCGACTGGTTGGGTGATGATCCGTGGATGACCGAGGGGGTAGGGGCAGTTCTTATTCACCCATAGGTAAAGGGAGGTGACATCCACATAACGTATCTCCTCCCCCTCCCCAGCCACGGCATGCAGGGCTACTGCGCCGGTTCGACCCCCAAAAAAGGACTCGCGGGGTTCCAAGGGTGGTACAAGATCGAAGGAACCAAGAAACTGAGACACGGCAGGCTCGTTGTCGACCAGCCGGTCCCACTCACACTCCCACATTTCTAGGACGGTATAACCCGCTCTGAGCAAAGCCATGCGTTTGGAGACCGTGGCTTGATACAGTTCCTCCACGGTTCGATCAGGCGTGGCATAATGTTTGGCGTCTCTCACGGGAAAACAGGTGGGACATCCATGGTAGAGACACCCATGAAACTCGTAGACAGTACGAGTCAGGGGATCGTAGCCATCCACGAAATAACTGTTGGCGATCGTCCGGACCGACTGTTCGCCCCCGTTGCGAACGTGTCGGATGCGGTCTGCACTGGCCCCCTGCTTGGGACTTTGATGTTCTTGATAGTACAGCCATTGCAGGGCCTTGAGGGATTGGTTGACTTGGGCCCCTCGCCAGCCACCCAGAGGTTCGACGGCGATGGTGTCGGGGGTCAGATGGTGTTTGCGCCAATACAGATTGCAAGCACTGGCGACGGTGATGCACTTGGCCATGGGATTGAAGCCAGCCTGCCGTTCGAATTCTTGCTGAAAGGCTTCACAACCGGCTTTCAACAGAGCCACATCCGATTTCCAGTACTCGATCATTTCGTGTTTGAAATGGAAGGGCACATTACGACGGACTTGATCCGCGTGCCAACGGGTCAGTTCGTCTTTCTTTTTGGCCATCATGCCATCGGGATCATAAAATTCCAAATCGGGGATGCGGCACACATACTGTTGGTGGTCAGGGGTGTTGAACAAATGAGGAAAGAATCCCTTCTTTAATTCGGTCAAATTGAAGGTGCTGGGAAATGAGGCCAGCGGCATAGGCAAAAAACACAACGAGTCAATGAATTTGACGGGTCCGCTCTTGAAGGACAACACTTTGGCTCCCACCGTCAGTTGATCCACGACCTCGCGTTGTTGCTGGTACAGTTCGTGCAAAATAAACATGCCATCGAAGCCTTTCAATTTGTGAAACACCACAAGAATGTTCCGTTCGCCCTCTAAGTCCGGGATGACAGTGAGATCATCTAAATCACGCAAAAATTGTAGGGCACAGTCTTCCCCGTCCAACACATGGATGGTCGTTTCTTCGCTGGACGAATAGCACAACAAATTAGCCACAAACACCCCTTCGGAATTTTGCATGGCTTCAAAATCCGCATAAACAAACAGGGGAAAGGGTGGCGCCACCATGCAACCTTTCCCCTCCTCTGTTGGTTCAGACTCCTCGTCCTCCACCACGGGCTGAATGTAACACCGGTGGTCCTGGATGGACACCCATTCCTGACACACGGGACATTTGGCGTGTCCGCACTGGTGACGTCTGTTAGGGACGACCGTGTATTGGGCCTGACACTTGAGACAGGTTTTCACGGATTGACATTGTTTGCTGACCACATGATGACGTTTGCAATAACCGCAGTAAAACTTGCAGTGACACAGACTGCAATACTCCGCGGGGCGGGTACCACGCACATAATCCTGACAATCAAATCGACCACACGCGGAGCAACGCTTCCCTTCACAGGTATGATTGGTTCGATCGTTGGTGTTGAACCCCCGTTCACAGTCCACACAATAATAGGAGCGGTTTATAAAAGCAGGAAAGGACGTGCAGCCATCAAAATGATCATAGGATTTGAGTAAACGAATCNACTTGAGACAGGTTTTCACGGATTGACATTGTTTGCTGACCACATGATGACGTTTGCAATAACCGCAGTAAAACTTGCAGTGACACAGACTGCAATACTCCGCGGGGCGGGTACCACGCACATAATCCTGACAATCAAATCGACCACACGCGGAGCAACGCTTCCCTTCACAGGTATGATTGGTTCGATCGTTGGTGTTGAACCCCCGTTCACAGTCCACACAATAATAGGAGCGGTTTATAAAAGCAGGAAAGGACGTGCAGCCATCAAAATGATCATAGGATTTGAGTAAACGAATCTGATGGGGGGCGGCGGGCCCTTTGAACATCAGAAAAAACGGTTTCATCCGGGTCATCACCAGCAATTGATAGTGGGTCCCCAACGCCTGTTGAAATTGGCGAAGTTCTGGCAAACCACAGGGACCCTCGGCTACTCCCGCTTGCTGATGTAATGCCTGGGCTTGACGTTCCTGCACAGCAAGCCCACGTTTGAGATTGTCCCATTGACGAAACTCATCCGCGCCTTGATCTTTATGACAATGCGCTCGCATGGTGACAATGGCGCGGGCACAGCATAGGGCATCTCTGTTTCGGATGGTGACGATACATCTTTTTTTCTTATTGTCTCTATCCAGGCATAGACGTCCCGCATTGCGTTGTTTATGTCGACCGGATCCTGAGCCAGGCATGGATACAAACACCACATCCACTTGGAAACCGCGATCGGGGTTGAAGGCTTCATTGCTGCTTAATTTACCGGCCAGGGTGGCCAACATCTCATCTAAGCGAGCGGTGCGTTGTAAAAATTCCCCTACCGTGAAATTGGCTGTTTGATAGGCATGGGTGAAACCATGGGCCGTAATGGCAAAATTGACAAAATGATGGGCGGGTCGCTGCTCGCGGTCAAGTTCCGTTTCAATGGCTTGATGTAACGCTTCGGTCAAGGCCATGCCAATATTGTCCCCAGGGACAGGATCCCGCAATTGCCGTAATTGCGCATTGAATTGCGCACGTTCTACGACATCACGCCAGCGGCGTCGTCGACCAATGGGTTGCATGGTGAATTGAAAGAGGGGGCCGCGGGCGGCAGCACCTCCCAACTGTTCCCTCCCGTCATAGGCGCGGTCCAACAGAGTATCCTCATCCTCCTCTTCAGCACTAAAGTGATACATTAGGTCCTCCGCCATGGCGGAGGAAAACAATTTGAATTTCCCGCGCTTGGCGTTGGCTTTTATAGACCGAAAAACACGTGATCACTAATGGGCTGGGATTGGTGGAAAAGGCTCAGGTGAGAGTCAGGTGAGGGGTTTGATCGACAGGAGGAAGATCAGCGGTGGTCCCCCCCATGGGTACAGACTCTTTAGGTCTCCTCTGGGCCTGGACCGAGATCTGTGATTGGTGGAGGGAACACTAGATATAGTCAAACGTCCAGGACAGTCGTCAGTTGTGTTCGATATGCCCAACAAAAATCCCGAGAAGGCGAAACAACTGAAGCACAAGTGGTATATGAAAAACAGAGAGACACTATTGCAACGGAAACGTGAACGGCGGGCGGCCCAGAAAAAGGTCAAACCACCACGTCCACCCAAACCAGCCCCAACAGCAGAACAGAAAGCCAAAGCCCGAGAGGCGAACCGACAGGCCTGTAACCGATACCGAGCCACGCATGCGACCCAAGTACGCCACCTAAATCGGGACTATTACCACCGGAACCGCGAGCGAATTGTGCAGCAGCAGCGGGACCGTCGTGCCAAGGCTCGTCAGAGCGAGCAAGCCCCTTTCCGAAAGTTACGTGCTTTGGCGGACGTGTGTGCCGCCCGATTACTGGAATTGGAGCATGGATATGCCAGGATTGAGCCAGCCCCCAAAAAAGAGGGACCCCGAGAAAAATAGAATCAACCAGAAGCTGTATCGGCAGCGGAAATATGTGGCCTTGAACGGTTTAGAGGATGTGAAGGCCCTTCACCGTCGGCGTTATTACGAACGCATGGCGCGTATGAAAGCGAACGGGGAGTACGAGGCATTCAAGGCCAAAAAGACCCAGGAGGGCATGCGGCGCTACCATGCCATGTCGGAGGAGAAGTGGAGTGAAGTGAGACGCAAGAACGCGCAAATGCAAAAGAAATGGATGCAGAAAATGAAGGATGAGGGGACCTACGAGGCCTACAAACAACGGTTGAATGTGCGGCGGCTGGAGTTGCAGGCGGAGAAAAAGCGAGCGTTAGGCGTCGAGGGGTGGAAAGCCTTGCAGAAACAAAAATATGAGAAGCGGGTGGAAACGGTTCGGCGTCAACATTGGCAATGGTTGGACGAGCAATTGGACCGTCCTTTTCCCCTACCGTGGTTGCCATTGGACTGGGCAGACTCCGAGCCTGAGGAGGAGGACACGGTGCAAACCCTTCGTGCCGTTGCGTTGCAACAAATGGACCAATATTTGTCCCGAATCCCGCGCTTGACCGCTTTCTTGATAGATTCCACACGTTCACTGGGTGTATCCCACGGTTCTGCACCGTACGTGTCTGAAAAAGGCAACTCTTGCGCCAACTCCGCGCTGCTCGGTTGGGGCGTAAACTTGAGTTTCTTTTTGGCACTGGGGGTGATGTTCGGTTTGGGCGGGGCAGGTGGTTTTCTGGGCCCTACAGGCGTGGATCCTTGTTTTATACCCTGGGTCGCCTTGTCCAATTGCGTGAACCACGCTTGCATAGGGCCCGCCTCAAAATCATCGTCGCCAGGGATCGTGGCCCCTGTCGCGCTCACACCACCGGTCGGGGCCCCAAACGGTTGGCGAACGTTTTTGGTCCAATGGCGTAATTGACGGCTCACGGCTTTGAGTTGAGGCCGTTTCCAGGCATCGGGGGCATCACTGGTCAGGAGCACATGTTGTTTGGCGGCCAAATCGGCGGCTTTGGTCAAGCGGGTATCNCTACAAACAACGGTTGAATGTGCGGCGGCTGGAGTTGCAGGCGGAGAAAAAGCGAGCGTTAGGCGTCGAGGGGTGGAAAGCCTTGCAGAAACAAAAATATGAGAAGCGGGTGGAAACGGTTCGGCGTCAACATTGGCAATGGTTGGACGAGCAATTGGACCGTCCTTTTCCCCTACCGTGGTTGCCATTGGACTGGGCAGACTCCGAGCCTGAGGAGGAGGACACGGTGCAAACCCTTCGTGCCGTTGCGTTGCAACAAATGGACCAATATTTGTCCCGAATCCCGCGCTTGACCGCTTTCTTGATAGATTCCACACGTTCACTGGGTGTATCCCACGGTTCTGCACCGTACGTGTCTGAAAAAGGCAACTCTTGCGCCAACTCCGCGCTGCTCGGTTGGGGCGTAAACTTGAGTTTCTTTTTGGCACTGGGGGTGATGTTCGGTTTGGGCGGGGCAGGTGGTTTTCTGGGCCCTACAGGCGTGGATCCTTGTTTTATACCCTGGGTCGCCTTGTCCAATTGCGTGAACCACGCTTGCATAGGGCCCGCCTCAAAATCATCGTCGCCAGGGATCGTGGCCCCTGTCGCGCTCACACCACCGGTCGGGGCCCCAAACGGTTGGCGAACGTTTTTGGTCCAATGGCGTAATTGACGGCTCACGGCTTTGAGTTGAGGCCGTTTCCAGGCATCGGGGGCATCACTGGTCAGGAGCACATGTTGTTTGGCGGCCAAATCGGCGGCTTTGGTCAAGCGGGTATCTTCCACCAATTCTTGTTTGTACTTATCTCTTAATTGTCAAAAAGCAGGGGGCGTTGTCCACTGTGGTGCTCACCATCTCGGGCTCCATGGTGCAACTGAGGTGTGTTGTCTAGCGCATGCAACGTTTATAACATCGGTAGAGTTCAGGCCAGAGGGCGCCGCCTTTTTGAGCCATCATGATGGCGCGTCGTCGTTTCACGGAATGCGCGGGTTTGGCCACGGCGCGTAAACTCTGTGCGTGGGGTTTGAGCAACGTGATGGTGTGTCGGGAGCGGGGTACAGTGCCACGGAGGGTGTTCATCACCAATTCACTAATAGCATTGATCTGATCCGCATTAGCCATCCGCAACAATTCCTGTCGTTTGTGCTGATTGGCTTCTTGTAAGACGCTTTTCAAGAACGGGGCTTGACGTTCCATGCGCCACTCCATGATGAATCTTGAGTCCGGTCGTCGAATACGGATTCTCGGTTTGTATTTCCTGTGCCACAAAGGCGAGAGAGCCATTGCCAAAAGCGGTAGCCTAGCGCCGCGTTCCATTCCACGTCGACGGCGTCGTTTTCGGGGGACATAACGATGCCGGCGTCCATTGGGTCCACGGACCATCCTCAATTGGAGTCTTGTTCCAAACCAGGCGTTTCTTTTATAGCTTTCTCAGCGTTTCAAACCCGCCCCAACCCGTTCGACCTAACATCCGCTGGACCCGTCGTTTATTGGCCGCCATTTGCGCTGCACTGATCTTGCCCACCCGTTTCTTGCCCCTCGCTGCTTGAATGGCTTTTTTGGCGCCGTAGCCCGCTGCACCACTGATGGCTCCGGCCGCCGCCGCCTTGGCTGCAGCGATGGCAGCGGGGATGAGGAGCGGGAGAATGCCCCCTCGTTGCTTTCGGCGTCGTTTTCGTCGTTGACCACAGTGCATGATGATCCCTTGTCTGTCCGACGGAGGACACGCCTGTTCCCTTTTTATACTATTTTTCACATGATAGAACAATTAAACGATTCACCCACATAGCGTTTTCGTTAGCCTGAGGCAACTTCTCGTCGGCGTTTTACGGAAATTTTGATGGCGCGCTTGGTTTGATGATCCCCCAAGGCTTTGGTGATCCCATAAGCGGTTTTGCCAATCCCCATAATGAGACCCGGTGAGACACCCCCCACTTGACCATAGGTCATATGCCGTGGTCGTTTGGCGGGTGGTCGGCGTCGAGTCGTGGTGCGTTTGCGTTTGCGTTTGCGTTTGCGTTTAGGGGCCATAGCACTTCGACATCGGCCACACATGGTACTGGGACGGTGGAAGGAAGGACACTGTTTTTATATCTTTTTTACATTCACGATTGTCGACCACGTCCACGTGTTCGGCCACGGCCACGGCCACGTCCTCGGCGTGGTGGCGGTGGTGGACTTGGGCTGGAGGTTCGCGTAGAGGTGCGGCGCACGGAAGGACGGCCTCCCCCATCTTCGTACACCGTGGTGACTGTATTGGTATGCGTGATACTGCGAATGCGCCTCCCTCGAGCACGTTGTTGGGCATCTTCATTGAGCAAATCCAACCGTCGCCTTAATCCCCGCCGTCGATCGTCATCGTCATCATCGCCATCGTCGTCATCCGACGGAGGAGGGGAGGAATCCGGGGACTGGGGAGAGGGCACTTGGGGACGTCGTCGCGGTTGTTTGGCAGCGATGGTGGGACGTCCTGTAGGGGTCGTCACCGTGGAGGTGGTGGTCCTGGTCCCTGCCCCGGAGCTTCGGCGGGCGGTGGAGGGGCGTGAGGGAGCGGTGGTGACAGGACGTGGTCTGGGTCGTCTAGAGGCGGTGGTGGTGGTGGGGCGTGTTCGGGTGGACTTGGTGGGACGGGTTTGAGTCGCCGTGGTGGTTGGGGCGGTAGTGATGGAGGGTGGTGGTGGTGCCGTGGTGGTGGCCGGGGCGGTGCCTGTGCCTGCCACGGGCGGTAGAGTAAACGCATTCAAGGCATCGTCCACATTGACCGGGTAGGTCAGGTTAAAATCCTCAATCTCTTGATCCAATTGGGCTCGATCGACCGGTCGGGTCAATTCGGTCACTATGTCCGTCATGCTGCTGAGGTCCTGGAGGGGAGGAGGTGCTGTGGGGGAGCCCACACCGGCGGGCGAGAGGGTTGGGGTTACATGCGGACCGATAAGTCAAGTTGCTGTCCGCCTTCTCTTTGCCGCCGTTGACGTTCGCGTTCTCGTTGCAGCGCGTTTTCGAACGGCAGGGACATCCACGGGTAGGGTATGGACTTGCGCCTTGCCTTCTCGGGGTGTTAAATGACTCCACAATCGGTAACGATCGTCCGAAGCCGGATGCACATCCAACATCAAACAGCCAAAGGGGCATGACGTGATGCGTTTAAATAGGCG